GGATCCTGGCGCGGTAGTATACGATCTCATCATTACGGACAGCCTGGTTGGCACAGCCGCGCTGCAATGTGACGCGACAGCGGCTGCGGCTCGGTGACGGCGAATCAGCTGATTTCCATGGAATTCGGCTGCGAATTCCCACTTTTTCAACTCTTCAAGCTTCGAAAGTGGAAGGTGAGTTATTTTGAGCAATTTTAAATTGTACTGACTCTGAATGAATCTGAAAGAATGCAAGCCATTTGAATAAATGCCTGAAATAAGGCAAAATACAAGGAAAAGAGCATAATAATCGACATAAAAATAAAGGAAATCAGAGCCAGTACAATTCAAATTGTTCAATAACTCACCTTCCACTTTAGAAGCTTGAAGAGCTGAAAAAGTGGGAATTTGCAGCCGAATTCCATCGAAATCAGCTGATTCACCGTCACCGAGCCGCAGCCGCTGTCGCGTCACAGTGCAGCGCGGCTGTGCCGCCCCGACAGTCCGTAATGATGAGGACTGTATTCTCCCACCCAGCCATTCGAATTTGAATATTACAGGGACGGGGAATGGTATTACTGAAACGCGGTGGCCTTTGCGGTTTGGCTGAGGTTCTTCATGGTTTTATATTTCTAGCACAATCTACGGTGTAGGAAACGGCCAAAAACACGTGAATTATGTGCTATCAGAGGTTCCGCTGCTCCAGTCGAGAAACTGACGCACTGGTTGAATTTCGCGCGCCCATCGCCGCGCGACACTCACCTTGAAAAATTTCCCGCGCTCGTCGCCGAACGGGCGTCGCGCGCGACGGAGAGACAAATTACGATTCTCTTGTCCACAGGGTACAGCATCGTGATGTATACAGTTAATTGGTGCCAGAAAACCGGTGCTAACGTATTTGGGGGGGGGCCACGCGGTTCTCGGCCAGTGATGACTCATCGACTCTTCTTTTCATGTTTAGGACATAGATATAAGATTGTCCTAGCTATATTCAAAAGATAAAACAGTTAACTCTGAAGAATGCGAAAAAACAGTTGTGGACAGGAAAATTTTGCCTAAACTTGTTGCTTTTTTGTTGTAGACCGCTGTTCTTGACTACAAAAGATCATACAATGTTGTTTTCAGTTTCTGTGGGATTTCTCAGCAAGTTTCCGGTGAATCTTGTTTGTTTTATTCTAATTTTGCTGCTAGATTAGTATGTCGACGCGGCCATCGACCAATGAGTCATCACTGGCGAGAGCCGAGTGCCCCCCCCCCCAAATACGTCAGCACCGTACGACCCCCCCGGAGGAGGGTCTCGGTACGACCCTCCTTCCCCAACGCCTACCTACCACTTTCCTACGAGTTACCAGCTTCCTGCCAGTTTATCCAAAATTCTCTCAGCTTTCCTGCCAAGTTGTCTTTCTTCACGCTTCCAGTCGTGTTCTCACAAAATTTCCCTTCGCTCCGCCGTCCTTCGGCGCAGGGCGGGGCGGGCAATGTCGTCCAAGGTACAGACCCCCACCTATGTTTTCACACGAACGATGCTGTACGCCTGTTGTCCATCTCCCAATCGCCGATTCACCTTTCGATGCATTCAGTAGCAGGCGGGAAACTTTTCTCTCGCCCTCTTCAGCGGGGCGGACCAGGGGGGCTTGTCGCTGTGCCCAATAAACACTGATAATGTGATCAGTTCAATTGCTGAGCTGAGCATGAATCTGTTCCTAGACGCTGACTAGTACTCATGTAGGACAACTTCGAGCACAGTGGTCTTTTTTGTAGATGTGATGTCTTGTTTTCGTTTTTAACAAATGAAACTGAGGCTTTTCCAATCAAAAACCCGGCTTAAACGATGAATTATTCAATGATGTCGAACATGGTGGTGCTTTGACGGACAGAATCGAAATGCTTTTTCCCCCGCACTTCGATGTTTGCTTGTCGGGGAGGCGTGATTCGAACGAATGATTGAATGATGCTTTATCGTGTGACGATTGCACGATCCACATCATACATATAAGCCTATGGCTGGGGTGAGCGGCCGCTTGTTACTGGTTATGTTCGTTCTATAGCGGTGGTGAGTCTGTTCCTATTTATTTGGACCTCTTTTGCGCCAGGATGACGTCATTGATCATTTGAAGCACGTGGCCGGTCACGACTGCTGTCCCGTCACGACTTCCGTCTCTCTTTCTCCCGTCGCGCTTGTCTGGCGCGCCCATATCTTTTCTTCTTACACTGAGAAACGCTGCGCTGTAACGATGTCCATGACAATTCGAACGAGCAGGTTCTCGGGTCACTCGATTTCCTTAATTTCCTTCGTCGTCAACATTTCATTTCCATTCCCTTATAGGTTCCTCGCACTTTTCCTGTTTTCTATCCAAGACATGTTCTTTACCGCACAGCACTGCAATATTGTGAGAAGATTTGGCGCTGTCCGGCTTGGGAGGGGGTATTGCTGCGTAATTGCATGATTTAGCCTTTTAGGTTACAGATTTCATAGGCCTTGAGAAGGTGGCCTGAACTAGCTTTGTTGATCTTTTGGTGTCCGCACAAAGCCGATCTCTGGATACCCTTTACTGCCCCGATCACTCGAAATCGAGCCAGTTTTTGAGCGACTTTTTTTGACCGACGTGGACAGACTTGGCACAAATTTGTCTCCTGGGGTAGTTTGACCTCCTGAACCTCCTTACGAATATCACATCCGCTTAGCCCAAAACCTATTGGCGCCCGCGCCACAGGCGCCGGTGATTTGGGGTATTTTGGCGCGGGCGCCAGGAGGTTTCGTGCCGAGCGGATGTGATATTCGTGTTCAGGAGGTCAAACTACCTCAGGAGACAAATTTTTAGCCAATTCTGCCAATTCTGGAGAAAAAAGTCGGTCAAAGACTAGCCATATTTGGGATGATTGAGGCAGTAAATGGTAAATTGTGCCACGAACTGAATTCAGTTCCCATAGAAACTACTCTAACGTTTTCCGTTTTAGTGGCCGATACACCCCCCTTCGCTCGACAGCTAGACGAGAGGGAATGGGGGGGGGGGATCGTAGGGTTTGACTGAATCCCCAACCAAAGATGTCCCTGCCAATGCGCCCCCCCCCCGTGAGTGATCACCGTCTCTTGTTTGTGTTTCGGTACTGCTTCTGCCCTTCTTGTCACTTTGTCCTTCGATCAGCTGATTCCTCACGTATTACGGCAAAATAGACGAAAAAGTCCCTCAGACTTTTTCCTTCATTCTGTACTAGTTCGACAACTACAGCGAGACAGTACCATTGGGTCCACAGTCAGCAGTAGCTGACGAGGTCATGAAATGCATTCTTAAGATAATCGATGAAATAATCGCGAAATCAATGCCCACTATTTCAACCGATGCTTGCGCGATCTTCTCGCTTTCTCATTGATTGCATTTCTGTCAACAGCGATTCGTCCGCCCTTCACTTTCAGTGGTATGTTGCTATACAAGTATTGTATAATTTAGTTTGGCAGTCTAAAGCCCTTTGTTCTCTTTATCCCGAGCAAAAATGTTTGTGAAGAGTGTATAGAGGAATTTCAGCGCTTTGGTTTAATTTGACGACTGTGGTGTTGGGCTTTTTGTTTATTTGAATCGCTATGGTAGTGCTTCGTTTCTAGATAATGGGAGTTCGAACGCTGTTACACTGAGTTGAGCGGCGCTCGTGTTCAAAGACTGAAGATTTTTCGGTCGTAAAGTACAGGGGTTCGAGAAGTCAGTGTAATTTTTGGAGCCTATTGCGAACTTTTCCATCCCACTGATACGAAATAGGGTGTAAAAGCGTGGGTTTTTGAATCGCGTGCAGTCAGTTGTTATTTTATTTGTAGGTAAAATTTTGTCAGGATGTAGTTGTCCTCGAACGGTAAGTGGTTAGTAAGGTTACAGTTAAAATCAAGTGGTGTAGCATAGGTTCGCAGTCCAAGGTAGGGCACATGACCGCTGGGGATTTACTTGTTTTTAATTTATTTCGATAGCTGATTTTTCTTTTTTCACGGACCACGGACCTTATAAAGGGGGGGGGGGTTGGGGTTGTATTTGGTCAAGAGGAAGGGTCGTATTTTCCTTCTAGGAACATTTTCCCCGGTTGTTGACTTTCCGCGGTTTTTCCTGCTTCACATGTGCTACATTCTCGTGGAAAGCTGCGAATTCCTTTGGTGAAAGATTGAACCCCAAGACTGTCAGGAGAATCGTAATTCGTCGTGAGCGTCGAGTGCGGCGTCGCGCCCGCTAACGCATAGAAGTTTTGGGGTATTGTCCGAGAGTAGACAATGCATGACCCCTAACCATGTCCTTGTATACATGAAATCCTCTGCTCCAATCGAAAGGGTTCCGCAGATTAAAGAAACGTCGCGCCCATTGCCGCGCGCGACGAAGCGGCAATGTACGATTCTCTTGCCGGTCTCCCAGATTTTACAGGTCTCACCAGTTACAAGTTCCATCCAGATCACAGATCCCACCAAAGTAAAACCTGTTTAGTTAACAAGAACCAGAAGAAGAAACTGGTGAAAGCGTGAAATCCATCTCACCCCTCCCGTCCCCTGCCGTATGCCGAACAGCGCCCATTCTCAGATTCCTCATGAACTAAATATGTATCATGCGAAGTATCAGTTCGTTGTTAGCAGTACTTTTTCTCGCCTTATTTGTATGAGTTCATGGCTACAAAATGTCATCGGCATTCCAGGATCTAACTCGGAAAATGTCTGGAGATAGCTTTCCTCACTTTGGTACGGATGCTCTTCATATTGGACAAGAGCCCGAACAATGGGATATGAATCAGGCAAGATTTATTTCATGTTTATAAAGGAACGCACAGCGCATAAAAAGTCTTCTCGATCTGTGCTCATCGTGAGGTAGACTCCACATCCTGGAGATGTAAGAGGCGTGACTCCGACGTCATTTGGCATGGCGCATGATATATTAGGTTGGCGGGAAAGTTCTGTCACTTTTTTTTGGGCTTTCTTTTTATAGAGAGGCGTGTAAGATCAAAATTGTACAGCAATGTTACTGCGGGGTCCTTGCCTGTTTTTGAGCACCTCATGGATGCCATCGCTTCACAATGCAGGGAGGCGCGATACAAAGTTGGACATCATCTCAATCTTGGCTTGAACTCAGACTTTTCGAGGTTTTCTCGTAATTTCTCGTCCAGTAATGATTGATTACGGGAGGCAACTCGCAGTTAGAAGGAGCAATGTCTGTGCTACACCACTGCAAGGGGAGAGCCATCCAGCTCTATTGCATGAGGAACGGCTAGAACTTTTTTGGAAGTGCGCTGCACTATCAGAAGCATTTGGAGGGGTCGGTGGCGATGGTAGCGGATAACATTCTTGTCCATATTGCAGAAGAAGAAGAAGCAGGAATCAGCGAGTGGTACTAATAGAAAGACCGCCTCTTTTGATGTTAACGTGGCTCACATTACCGTTCACCCCTCTTCAGGTAATGGACAAGTATTTTGAGTTCGAAAAAGTGACAGAACTTTCCCGCCAACCTAATATATTGGTGGGGTATTTCCATTCGGGGATGTCATACTGTCGTGTACTGGACAAACATGAATACAGTTATCCCAAAGCAAACATGTTCTACCAAAAGCGCAGCAGCCTTTAGTGAAGTACGCAGCCACGCCCACTCAATTTGCTGGATTTGGAGTGTACGGTTGCTATAAGCCCGAAAAGAAATGGTTGTGTTAAATAGGCAATGAAACACAACCTCGTGGGACAGATCAAATGGTGGATTAGGTGTAGTGAATTTGGGAGATAATGACGAAAGTTATAGAATTCGTACAGAAAGCCGAGCAGCTGTGCTTTTGTAGTTAGGTTTTCTCCGCTTATCTGCCTGCCTGTTGGCGCCGCACTCACTCCTAGCCTTTACATCATAAACCCTAACCCTAATCTGGCGTTCATCGAATCCGCCACTTTCTTTCGTCTAAGCTCTGACGGCCACTTAGCCCTCGATTTCATCGCGCATCCACGATGATCTTTGTCGGGTCTATCTTCTTGTATAACATATCTGAAAAAAGTGAATGCCGAAGTTTGTTCAGAAATTTATTAGCTTGCTGTCGCAAGTGAGGCTTTCATAGCAGTGGTAATCGCTGGTTAGGACAAAAGGGGGAGGTGGAGGGCTAAGAAGCGACACTTTGCCCATAGCGTTCGCTCGCAATGTTTACGTCGCAGGTGACGAGGGGCATAGACCTGAGATGTACATGAGTCTCCCTGACAGTCAGGTTCATCATCGTTGCCCTGAGATCCAATAGAGGCCGCTCCCATCGGTTCTGGGCAGTAAGGGTTGAGGTTAGAGCTTCAACTAGGTGTCTGCTACTTATTTGGTCGTTTTATTCCATCACCCGGTGAGAATTAGCACTCCATTGCAAAGCTTTGTTTATTGCTTGCTCTCTCACTCTGGCATGAGATTAAGTTCGACCAAGGGATCGCCGATTCACTTCATGTGAAAGCTATACTATCACATGCTTTTGGCGCTTTCGGGAGCAACCAATCGTCAGTGTCTGATCTACGTCCATACTCTGCGTCAGCGTTTTGAATGTATGCCAGCGTTTCAGCGACTCCCCGCGAAAAGCTCAAGGCTCAAAACCTGGTCGCTCAGAACGCTGCCGTACGCTGGTGTACACTAGATCGATCTATACTCTCATGGTCGCACAAGCTAGCGTAGGCTCGAAACGCTCAAAACGCTGCGTACGCTCAAAAGGCCGACGCAAAGTATGAACGCACTACAATGTTTGTCGCAAAAGGCACTGTACTGAGCAGAATATTTCATCTCATGATAAGCGAACCAGAAACGAGTTCTTTATTTTTACCTGCCATGCTGGCTTTGAAAATGCGAATTGCTTATATTGTTCAATTCGTCGTTAAAATTCCAGGTAGTACCTCCTATCTCATTGTCTACCACATACAAACAAGAAAGACCTGGTGAACCGAAAGGACACGACTACTCAAGAGCGGGAAATCCGTCGAGAGATGTTCTACAGAAGTGCCTTGCATCTCTTGAAGATGGCAAGCACTGTGGGTAAAATTTATCATTTTAATATGGGGAGAGTCTTCCTCCTTACACCAGTAATCCGAAATTTTAGGCCATGTATTTGCATCGGGATTGGCCGCTTCAATGGCTGTCATTAACATGATGCGGTGTGGAGATCATATCATTTGCTCAGATGATGTTTACGGGAGGTTAGTTAGCTTTGGTTTGGTTGGAGGTCGTTTTTGCTCGAATTTTTTTAAATATTTTTTGTTTAGGAACGCAGCGGTTTCTTCGCCGTGTCTCGGTGCCTCAACATGGAATTCAGGCTGATTTCGTTGACCTTACTAACTTAGAGCTATTAGAACAAGCATTTAGGCCAAACACGAAGGTTCGTTTATGTTTATCAGCAACTTTGTCGAGAGTTTATTTTAAGCAGTAATAGTAACCCCTGTTGCAAAGCTCAGTTACTTTTAGTTGATCTGGTTCGAGACTCCATCCAACCCACTTCTGAAAGTGGTCGATGTAGCTGCTGTAGTTCATTGTGTCAAGAAAGTCAATCCTAATATTTTAGTCGTCGTCGATAACACATTCATGAGCCCATTCTTCCAGGTTCGTTCCGGCTGTAGTACTTGTTGCGGCGCCGTTCGGTGACGGGAGAGGGGACATTTTGCACTTTAACTCCTTTCCATCGACGTGTTGAGCAGTCTAGAGAGATACTCCATGAGCTTGCAAGAGTTACATGTTTTACAAAGGTGGCTCGACAACCTTGCTCCAGCTCCTTAAGGGTTCACAGGTTTCACCAGAG